CTGCCTGGTGCTTCCTTTGCTGCTCTCTGCCCGGGCATTCCAAGGGCACTGTGGCCTCCCTTGCTCCACCCCAGTAGCTCCAACAGGCATCGAGAAGCTCAGCTAAGCAGCTCTGGCCCAGGTCACTTGCTGGGAGGGCACTGGATGAGGACCTGTGAGCACCGAGGGCCTCCGGTCCCCACCCCTTGGCAATGCCATACGGAGCCTAGATTGGCCCAGCGGTCGGCAAGGGGCAATTCTCCCACACACGTGGATTTGAGCCCCAGGTTTGCCAGAGCTTCCATCTCCTCATAAGGAGAGTAAGCCCTAGCAGAGTTCAGCAAGCTCATCCTGGTACCATGTCCTTGGCACGGTGCCTGATACACACTCTAATCAGACAGCAGTTGTCTCTCTCTTTCACTATGAGAGAGAAAGAGAAAGAGAGAGAGAGAGAGAGGAGAGAGAGACTCTCACTCCTACAATGACTGGGGCTGGGCTGGACCAGAAACCCAACTACTTGGGCCATCAGGTGCTACCCCAGGGAATGCACTGGTAGAGCCTGAACCAGGACTCACACCCAGGCACTCAGGAGTGGCACACTGGGCCACTCGGCATTAGAATGCCTTCCTGTTTCTCCTCTCCTCGTTTTCTTTTTCCTCCTCCTCTCTGCCCCTCCTTGCTCCTAATCAATAAGGTCACGGTCAGTGCCACCATTACTTAGCTTTATTTTCCTGCTCTAGTCACTGTGGTGGACCAGACACTTTACGCCTAAGGAAATCCCTCAGTTTTCCTCCTCTGGGCCTGGCCTCCACATGATCTATGTGCCCGCGCTTCTTCCCCAAGGTCTCTCTCCTGCGCCTCCCCTTGGGAGCATCCCCATGTGAGCCGTACGGAAACCACGTGAGCTGATGCCCACAGGCCCTGGGAGCTTTCTGAGGGGAAGCCAGCAAGGCAATGAGGGGACGATGAAGCACCTGTCTCCAGCCATCTGAAAACACCCAGCTTAGGATCCTGTAGTGCCATCTCCACCCCGCCCCCCAACCCTCATGTTTGTCCAAAGAGCTGGAGGCCCACAGCATGGGCTTAACTGTCCCCTGTCACCTGTGCTTCTAGGTGAGCCACAGGCATAAGCAAAGCTTCTCAATCCTCAGCGTGAGCCCCTCTCCAGGTCTACCAATGCAAGGACCAGGCCTCTGAGCACCTTCTTTTTCTAAAATACTTCAAACTCCAGAATGAGAGAGAAGAGTGTTGGGCCAAGCTCCGGGCCCAAGCACCCACATGGATTTGGACTTGGGATGACACTAGGAGGCAGTTTGGATGCCACAGTGACTTTCAGATACAACCCTGGTCCTCTTTCTGGAACGGAGGATTTTAGACCCAAGGCCGGAAGCTCCTCTGAGCCACATGAGCTGCACTCTGACCTCGAAGGGCACACAGAGCGGGGCAATCCCGGTTTGGAACAAGGCAGCTTAGAGGGGAGGAGGAGGGTGGTTCTGGGTCCTGGCCACTGAGACGGAATTCAGACTAACTCAGACAAGGTGGGGCTGCAGGGGGCCCTCCTGTGACGCTGGGCAGCTCTTCAGAGGCATCTGCCAGAGACAGCAGCAGCTTCCACACGTGGTGGCTCTGGGTACCACAGGGCGTCCCCTCTTCATGCTGAGGCCCCTGCCTGCGACCTCTTGGCTCCTTTCTCCCTTGGCACTCCCCTCTGGCATCACCGCTCTGAATGCCACCACGTGTGGGTGAAGCTGCACCCGCACCACAGATCTGTGTGTCCAGGTGTCTGCCTCGTGTCTCCACTCTGGAGCTGAATGGACATGGCCAGGCCAAGCTCCAGACATGCATTGCTCCTACCAAGTCCATCCTGCCACTGCTCAGCCCGGGGGCCTCTCCTCCCACACCCACTGGGAGGGCAGGAGGCTCAGACCCTCCAAGGGTGGGTGGAGCAATGACTTCTTACTTAGGAGATGAAATTTTAAGAAAGCCAACCCCAAGCCCTACAGCTATTTGAAATATAACTTACAGGAAGCAAAGCTTGAATAATCCCTGGTAGATGGGACTAGGCCAGAAAGGGACCTGTGGGGTTCATACCCTTATCAAAGACCAGGAATTACAGAGACAGAGGTTCCTCTGGCCCAGGGCAAGGTGAGCTGGCCACCCCGGGGATGACTGGACCCAGCTCTGGGCAGGAGGGGGTAACACTCTATCACCAGTCCTAACATCCACAAATGGCAAATGAGATTTCTTGCCTGCCAGGCTCACAGTTAATAGTTAAGTGAATCAAGTGGAAAAGTGAATTTCAAGTAGAAAACCATGATGCCAGGGTGGGCGTTTGGCACACAGTTGAAGACGGCTCTTTGGACACCAACAGCCCACGCTGAAGTGCCTGAGTTTGAATCTCGGCTCTGCTGTCCATTGCAACCTCCTGCTAATGCACGCTCCAGGAAGCTGCAGGTGATGCTCCCAGTGCTTGGGTCTCCCCACTCCACTCATGTGGGAGACCTAGCCCAAGTTCTGGGTTCCTGGCTTTGGCCTGCCCCAACCACGGCTCTTGCCAGCCTTTGAGGAGTGAACCAGTGGATAAGAGAGAGCTCTCTGTCTATATATCTCTCTGTCTCCATCTCTGTGCTTTACAAATAAAAAATGTTAAAAATATATAGATACATAAGGATCTGCTTGACAATTTGTCTTCCTTCTTGTCCTATACCCACTCCACCCCTCTCTCCTCTAGCTACTTTTTCTGTAAAACCTTCTATATTCTAGGAATTTTTTGTTCTTTCTAATTTTGCTATTAAACATGCAAATCCTTTGAGAGGAAATCACAGGTGGACAGCTATAGGCCATGCCAACAGTGAGAAGGACCTGCCAGGAGCCCCTGGGGTTGAGATGGGTTCTCTGCCACCTGGAGTGCTGGCTGCTGTCCCCTTCCTGTAGCTTCCTGCTGTGGTGCTGAGTCCTTCTGCACAGGGGTTCACATGGATCTGCACTACTTTCTGCCAAAAAGAGACCCTCTGGGGCTGGCGCTGTGGTGTGGTAAGTTTAAGCTTCTGCCTGCCTTGCCGCATCCATATGGGTACCAACTGGTGTCACAGACGCTCCTCTTCCGATCCAGCTGTCTGCTGGATCTGCCTGGGAAAGCAGCAGAAGATGGCCCAAGTCCTTGGGCCCCTGCACCCACGTGGGAGACCCGGAAGAAACTCCTGGCTCCTGGCTTCAGATGGGCCCAGCTTTGGGCAGGTGGCCATTTGGGGAGTGAACCAGCAGAGGGAAGACCTCTCTGTCTCTCCCTCTCTATGTCTATAACTCTGCCCCTCAAATAAATAAATATTTTTAAAAATAATATTAGTAAAAGGAGATTCTCTGAGAGCAGAGCCCAACTGTTATTTCTTCCCTGTTTTTGTCCACCCCAGAACCCCCTATGCAGATCACTGCCTGGCACCAGCTCTGAGCACAGCAACTCTGGCCTTTAAACTCCCAGGCTTGGATAGCAGCTGGGACACCACATCACAGGCTTGTCCAGCCTGCAAAACCGGGAGTCCCCTAAGCAGGGGCAGGGGTCTAGGTCGAGCGAGACTCAGAACATCAGCAAGAAGACTGACTTTGTTTAATGATTTGAGGACTTACCAGAAGAAGTCAAGGGAGAGGGTACACATGTACACACACACACACACACACACAACTAAGACAATGTTCAGAGACAGGGGGCAGTGGAGCTGGAGCTGCAAGGTGAGCAGGGAGGGGATGTATGGAAAGTGTGTCCACCTCCTCCCAAGGCACACCTGCTGTGAGGGGAGCACGCAGGACTTCTAGGCTGATAACAGGTCAGTTCAACTAACTGGGAGCATCAGAGAGACACTGGGGGGACGTGGGGGTGGTCACTGGGACACTTTCCAACAACTTAAGTCAAAACTCTCAAGTATCTTCTCTGAGCTGTTACTCAATGGTTCAGTGCATCAAACGTTTATGCAAACATTACCAAGTTTCTCTTCATTAAGGAAAAAATCATGACAAACAAATTAAACAACACATGGTTAAGACTAACCGCAGGAGGGCTTGCCTATAGATAGAGAAGATTTAAACATGCCAGGTAACAAAAAGACATGTGCAGGAACTGCTAGGAACTGTATCGGAGGACGCAACTCTCGGAAGGAGGAGGTGGCCAGAGGCCTGGGGCACAGGGCTGTCAGGCCAGGGAGTCAGGAGGGGGGCTGTGAGCAGTCAGGGAGTGGGAGTCAGTGCAGAGGGACCAGGCAGGTGCAAGGGAGCCCATTTCCACAGCCCCTGGGAGACAAGGCCCACCTATAGACCCCCAACCTCGGCTCTTTTGCCATTCCAGAGAGGAGGGGCACAAGCAAGGGAATGAGCACAGTGGCCCTGCCATCCTCTCCCAAAGGAGCCTGGAGGGGCCAGGCCGCCTGCACGGGCTGCTGATGCCAAGCTGAAACACAGCCTGCTCAAGGTGAGGATAATGGAGTCGTCTTTGGGCGAGGGAGGCCTAAGGCTGACAATACAGGCAAAGCCCTAGCCTTAATTCAGGTGTTCTGTTTGCGGGAGAGCCTTTTCAGGATGTGGGGGGGATGAGAAGGCGGCGGGGGGCGGGGGTGGCAGTGGTCCTGAGGGGCAGGCAGGGGCTGGCAGAGGTCTGAGTCCCTGCCCCAGCAGCTGCCTAGGCATGATAAACACCCCAGGATTTTCTCACTCCGTGGCTCACACAGCTGCATCCTCCCATACAGTGTGACTCATGCCAGGCCGATTGAGGGGGAGAGAAAAAGATGCAGCAATCAAAACGCAAAAGGAAACGGGAAGCCCTGACGCGTTCCAAAAGTTTAAAAAAAAAAAAAAAGTCAAAATAAAGCAACGAGAAAAAAATCCTCTGAACCAATTTAAACAAAATTTTTTTAAAAAGAAAAATAATGGGGTGGGGAGGAGAAAATATAATATGAAGGGGAAAAAATAAAGCGGGGAGAGACAAATGAGTGTTAGAGCGAGCACGGCCAGTTAGGTGCACGCCGTGTACTTACGTGTACCTCGGTGATCGCTATATCAACAATGCTACCCACAACAATCAAGGCGTCAAATGTATTCCATGCATCACAGAAATAGTGCTGCATGGGGCAGAGAAGCCGAGGAGAGAGAGAGGAGAGAGAGAGAGAGAGGAGAGGGGGAAAAAAAAACCAACAACAAAGGAGAAAACAAAACAAAAGGGGAGAGGGGAAAATGAAAAAAAGAAAGCATGAAAAAAGGGAGAGAAGAGAAAAAAATGAGAAAAGAAAGAGGTTACGTGGGCATATTAAATCATCTCTTACCACTGTACAGTTCTGGCGGCTCAAACCTGGGTAACCTGCTTTTCGCGGAGTGGAGAGGGCTGACAAAAGCTGGGTTAGTTCAGACGTGACGCGGGCCTGTGGCCGCCGGGGCAGGGAGCCGGGCGGCGCCTCCCTGGGCACAGCTCCGCGCTAGGCCAGGCCCGGCCGGGCAGAGCTGGGACCGGTGGGAAAAAGGAGGAGCAGTTCCCACTTTTCCCCCACAGCACGACGGCAGGCTCAGTAAAAAGCATGACTGGAGGCGGGTCAGAGCAAGAAATTAAAAAAAAATAAATCATAGCACGAGGGAGGAGAGTGAGAGCCAGAGAGAGACAGAGGCAGAGGAGGAGGAGGAGGAGGAGGGAGGGGGAGGTTTCCTGGGGAGGGCAGAGTAATACTCACATTAGTCTCACTGAGAATGACGTCAATTATGCTGCCAATTACGATGAGGAAGTCAAAAACATTCCAGGGATCACTAAAGTAACCCTACATAAGGGAGGGGCAGGCAGGATGGGGATTAAAAAGGAATATTAGACAGACAAGAACAGAGCAACATCACCATCAGAATCACTGTCCAGGCACCTCAGCGCGGCTGCTCCAGGTCCGAGCATCCTCCCTGTGGCCCGGGGCCCAGCGGGCGCGCAGGTGGCATCCGGCCCGGCCCTCCTGTCCTGCGCTGCCTTGCTCACAGACCCAGCCCGCCTCACGGCTCCTGCACAGTGGCCCTCTCCTCTTCCCAGCCCGGGCAGGGCGAGGCTCTCCTCGCAGCCCACGCTCAGCATCTCCTGTGCCCCCTGTTCTCTTCCACCAGAAGGCCTGTCTGCAGGGAGGGGACACAGGAATGGGACCCCTTAGAATGGTACCGGCTGTGGGCCTATGAGCGACGCTGGGACCAGAATCTCAGCATGGAGGCCAGGAGGATGGCCAGGTCATCTGGGCACACAGGCACTCATGGAGAGCTTGGAAATATCAAACGGTCCAGGTCACGGAGCAACTGCCTCCCACGAGCCAGCCAGGGCACCCCTCCTCTTGCCCTGGACACGCCCAGTGTCTCAGGGGACACTGCTGCCCGGCAAAGGCTTTGTTTGCTGAGAGCAGACGGGGTCGAGGTCAGTCTCACGGTCTGGCAATGACTTAGATGGCTCCAGACAGAGCCAGGGGGCGTCTCCCTGCATCATCACACTGATGTCGGTCACACTGGGATATAAACACCACCCACAGGAAGACACGTTCCCAAGCCTTTCCTGAAGACAGGCTTGACAGGGGTGGGCTGGGGACCGGGCTTGGGGACCCTGGCTTCTTAGAAAGGTGACACAGCCACGGTGCTGGCAAGGGGTGGGTGGGAGCATCCTGACCTAGAAGGGCACGTGTCCTATCTCTACCCCTTTATCCTACAGACATGGATTTTGTTTTACACTGTATTTGGAGAAGGCAGGAGACGAATGTTCAATGAAAGACTTTGTTGAGGTAGCTGGACAACAGGACAACCAATGACAAGGCTGTCCCAGGCGCCATGGAGTTCTGCGTGGGCAGACTCCTCACCAAGAGCAGGTGGATTTTGTGGGTCTGGACCTTTCGCCTCCCTGGGAGCTGTGGGGCCTGGGGAGCAATGCTGTGAGACCCAGCGGGCAGGCAACACAGTGCAGGAAAGCCCAGGGCCAGGACTGATTCCCCGATGAGGGGGGGTGCTGTCCTCTTCAAGAAAGGACATTTGCTCCTTTAGCTTTTTCCAGGAATGTCCTGCAAAGGGAACCAGGCAGAGCTGTCCACAGTGGTGGAGCAGACCAGCCTTTTCCTGTCCTCTGAGGCTGAAGGGTGCTCTGAGAAGTTCCCAGATCTTGCCCCGGCGCTCTGGAAGGCTGCCAACGCTCCCTGTCCAGATTGCTAGTCACAGGAGCCAAGCCTCTCTGTTCCTCCCTTCCTCCTGCCTCTCGCCAGCACCCTGAACTTCCCACTTCCCAGCCATGCCCTCTTTCCAGCCCTGGGGCTGGTATGCTTAGGGTGGGAGGTCAGGTCCCAGGGAAAGGGGCCTCTCTGTTCCCAGGCATTTCTGCCAAAAGAAAACAAACGGCAGCACGGAGACCCTGGTTGGCCAGGGCATGGGTTAGGTGAGGGTCAGCCTTAATCCTGGCTTTCTCGTTGGCTTCCCAGAGTATTTTCTGAATAACCCAGAGCCAGGGAGAGGGAGAGGGAGAGGGAGAAGGAAAGGGAGAAGGAGAGGGAGAAGGAGAAGGAGAAGAAGAGGGGGGATTCCCCTCTGCCTCTGTCCAATTGGAATCACACACATTCCGGGCAGCACAAACCATCCCCTCCCAGACAGCACTCCCAGGGCCAAAGGAGAACCCTGACTCTGGGGGAGAAAAGACCCCCAGACGAGCTAGACACATAGGTGTGCGTCAGAAAATCCAATTTTGGAAGGCACAGGGGGCTATCTCTAGACAAGAATACCTTTTTGGAGGGTACAGCCATTCCAGGAAGGGGGGCAGGGGAAAGAGGTCAGGGAAGAGAAGGGACAGACACAGGAACAGGAACGAGAGCAGGTTCCGGAAGGCCCAGCATCCACCTAGAAAACGTGGTGATGGAACATTACTCGGGGGTGAGGGCAGGACAGGCACGGGAAGGTGGGAGTCCCAGTGCTCAAGAAAGGCGGGTGAGTTGGGGTCTTTTCATCCACCAGAGACCTGAAACAAAAGCAGTGAGTTGGCCTTGGGCTGCAACACCTCTGAGAGAGGAGAAAGGGCAGGAAGAAAGGCGGAGGGCAGAGCAAAGCTCCGTGTTGAAAACCAGATGGACACGCACAGGTTAGCCCACCCCAGCACAGGGGAAAGGTGCGACACGGAGGGGAGCCTGCCAGCCTCCTGGTCCTGCATCCCCGGCTGCCCTTTCTCTGGGACGTCTTGTGCCTGAACAGGCGGTCAGTGCCTCCTCAACCGTGAGCCTGCGTGGGATTGGCCGGACTCTGTGGGGATAAACGCTTCAGGCATCACCAGCTGTGCTGCTGGAGACTCTGGGTTGATGTCTCTGTTCTGTGCCAAGCAGCGGTTCTCTACCAGCTGCAGAAAACAGAGCCGCTCCCCTGTTGCCAAGGGGCTCCCTGTGAAGCCACTCTGAGTGAAACTCAGGCACAGCTGACCCTCAGGGGGGAGGGAGCAGGTGTAGGAGAGCGGGCAGGGTCCCCTCAGGAGGCGCCATCCACCCGCCCTCCCACCCCTCCGTCCCACTGAGCCCACCAGTCTTCCAAGCCGGACCACGAAGACAGCATCAGCTGCAGCTTTCTGGTCCGTTCCCTTCAACCCACTCCCCTCCCCTTTTTCAACAGTGCCTTCCTGCCTCCTGTTCCACACCTCTGCCCAGAGTGACAGCTTGCCCAAGGGAGACACCAGGCCGAATCCCTGAGTGGCTGGGGCCTGGGAGGGGTATGCCCCCTTTACACTCTCTGGAGTGACAGGCCTTGGTGTCTGTCTTTCTCACACCCCTATCTGTTTTATCCACCCCTTGATTTGTGGGAACCAATGGAAATTGGGGCCTGCGGGTGTCATAGGGAAGGGAGGGAGGGAAGAAGTCATAGACTCTTATCCTTATGGCCTCACTGTGACCGGGAGCCGGGTTATCCTTGTCGTTCTGTCTTCCCCTGGTGACTGGGTCCCAGATGGCTGGGAAGCCAGGGCTGGGGAAAGTTTGCCTGGCTCTCCTTTACATGGCAAACCACACCTCTTGACGTCCGCCTGCTCACAGCCCGGAGGCGACCTTGCAGAGGGATGGTGTCTGCATGGTTGGAAGCCTCTCCTTGTCCTCCCCATGCCCCACGGAGGTCTCCTGAGCATCCGGGGCCACGTGCTGCTCTGCAGGTGCTGACGCCCTTGGCCAGGGTCCCTTCTGGTGCTGCTCCCACGGCCATGGGCTGGGCAAACACTGCAGAGGAGGCACCAAGACAAACTCAGGAAGGAACCCTGGCTGCAAAAGCACCTTCGGAGGCCTCACACATGCGTGGGATTTTGGATTGTCTTCTCTTTGGGATCACCTGTGCCCTGACTCAGCTGCATCATCAGAGACAGAGGTGAAAGGTGGCACAGCGGCTAAGGGCCTGGTCTCGGAGGCAGACACAGTTCAGATCCCACCTCTGGATGAACTTGAGCAAATGATATGGTCTCTCCGTGCCCTGATTTCTTCACTTGGAAAAAAGGGTAAGTCAAAGGGGTAAGGCGAGTATTAAATGAGATTCTACATGCAAAGCACCTAGCACTGCGCTGATGTGAAGTACACTCTGCATAGCATTAACCACAGTTGTTCTGAACCCGAGTCCATCTGCCCGCTTCGTGATCAAGTCAGATTCACAGGCTGAGTTTTGGGTGTGGGACTGAGCACAGGGTAAAGTCAAGTCTAGGTGTGTGGAAGGTTCTAGAAACTTGAGCTCTCCTTTGTCTCTAAGGCCTTGTCTGCCCTCCCTCCGGGTGATGAACATTGAGACTCCCTGGAATGAAGTCTGCTGGCACTACCCGAGGTTGGCGACACGGGCAGGTTTACATGGTGAACTCTTGTTACACCTGCTGAGTTTCTGAACAGCCCTGTCCCCACCAGGGAAGACACAGCCACAGGCTATGGAAGAAGAGGCTGGGCTGCCGGAGCGCTCGTTTCCTGTCTCTCATGTCCAAGAGCAGGGCACGCCTAAGCCCTGGGATTCTAGAGCCATTGGCTCCTTCTCTTTCTGCAGCAACACGAGACAAGGCACACATTTCTCATCTGCACCCTTGGTGGCACCATTTCTTCTTAGAGAAGTTGAGGGGGAAAAATGGTGTTTTTCTGCCATTACCTGCTCTTTCTGTTCCCGGTTCCATCTTGCTTACTCTCATCATCTGCCTCATATGGCCCTGCCAAAGCAAAGGCACACAGAAGAGGAAACCAGGTCATGTGGCCTGGCCCCTGCTGGGGAAGCTGCCTCCTGGGGGCACCTGCCCAGGACTCCTCCCTCCTGGGGCCACAGGGAGCCCTGAGTGTGCTAAGGCAGCCCTAGGGGAGAGCTGAGAGTAGACAGAGAGGGAAAGGATGGAGGAGAGAGAGGAGGGAAGGCTGGGTACACAAAAGGAGGCAGAACCCAAGCACCTGGCGACGGAGCTGTGGGCAGGGAATGGGGGCAGAGGAAGTAGCCAAGGCCCCCTGGTGGGGGGAGTCTAAGATGGGAGGGGCAGGGTAAAGATGGCTTCACTCAAGGGCGGGAGAGAGGCCGTGCCCAGTTCCGGAAAACACTGATCTTTCCTGGGTCCCAGGGAGAGCAACTGGGTCTGACAGCAGTGGCACGAGGCTGGCGTGTGTCAGTGTCGGGTTGATCCCTGCAGTACGGTGGGACGCAAATGGAAAGCGACAGCAAGCAGAGGTAACGTGAACTGTGTGACACAGGACGTCAGTTAACATCACGGCAGTCATGGAGTTGAGTGCCTCTAACAGAGAAAGCAGCGCCCAGCTGGGTGCTCCCCTGTCAGGGCCCAGCC